TGAATAGCTATAATAAATTAAATATTTTACTAAATGATCAAATCGATGTAAATAGTTATTCATTATTAAATTTAAAATTTGTAAACTTTTCGTATTTATGTTAATTTTGTAATAATTTTAATTAGGATATCTTCACCTGTAGAAGCTAATGTCATGGTGAAACAATTGTTGTGAACAGTTAATATACATTTTTGAAAATTAATTTCGTTTCCTTTATTTGATTGTGGAGTTTCCACAAGTAACGCCTTCGACCATTAATTAATTAAATAATTAATTTATAAGTATATGCGAAACCAATTTAGATAAATAGTCGTACTAGAAAATTTGTTAGAGTACATTTAACATTTGTATGAACCAATAAAAGAAAAAAAAAAATGCATGCAACTAACCTGAATTAGGCTGGTTGTCACTGTTCGGTCGAGCTGATGGTGCACCATCACGAGCTTCCACTTCCAATGCGTACGCGCCTTGCTTTTCTCTATCGAAAACCACTTTGGTAAATATTTCTCCAGTCTGTTGATTGATTTCGAAGAAATCTTTGCCTTCGTTACGAGGAGAGTCTACGATATAGTAATACACCTAAAACAAACCAAGACAACACTAATTAGATAAACAATAGACTATGCCAAATATGTTAGGGTTCATCAAGTACAAAATAGGATCAAATCCAACAAGAGTAAGACAGAAGTTTGTACAAAAATTAATATTTATTGAGTTAAATTTTCGTTGGAAAAAATGTCACAGAAATATAATAAAAGAATATAACAATGCAAAGATGAAACAAAGTTTTTCTCTTTTCTCTGTTTTATAATTACGAGTAAGGCAGAGACCGGGGATGGTTGACTAGTTTTTTACTGAATAATTCATATTTTTTGTGTTTTAATGTATATAGACAAGAAAAGCATATTAATTGATATAAAATCTATTAACCTAATAAAAATATGTAATATTTAGTTCTTAGTTTAGTATAATAGTGATGATTTAATGCATTTTATAAAATATTAAATCTTAGTCAATCTACCCCTGGCCCGGGGTAGGTAGACCATATACCCGGGGTAAGTTGACTCATGTACCAGTAAGAGTCAAATCATGAGAAGGAGCAAATAATTAAACCTTTTGTTAAAAAATAAACTGGCTAAAGTTTCCTCTTCTAGATTAGTAAAAATTTGTCTATTGTTTATATATTCCACTGTGTCCAGGGTTAATTCTCTTCAATTTCGGATTCTATTCTAATTTTTCTTTTAATTTGGCCACGTAACGATTTAAAAGTCCAATAAAAAGTTAATTTACGTGTTGTTTTCAACTACATATTTCATTGGGGTTGGTTGAATAATTACTCAACCAGCCCCGAAAAAAATTGGTCTACCAACCCCAGACGCCATTTTTAATTTTGATCGCATGGCTAGCCTAAACACTGCTGTTGACTAGAAAAATAAGATATGAAATATGATAAATGTGCCCTCATTAAACGCTAGAACTAATAGAAAAATGATTTACATAAAACGAGTAGGCATCAGATCAAGAAATACAACATATCAAAATATTACTTATGTGATTGACGTATGAAAAACAAGTCACTGTTCGAAAACAACGCACGACCGCGATGTGACGCTTCAGACAACTGAGCGGGACGCGAAATGTAATGCTTGGTTATGATCAGATGACATAGTTCAGACGAGTTTTCGGTAGTTAGTCTACCTACCCCTATAGTCAACCATCCCCGGTCTCCCCTAAGCAAATTTTATTGGGTTCCATTTGAAAATTAATTTTTTTGACCTATGAAAATATTAAATGTTCAGTTCTACACGTACCATCTTAAACTACATTTTCTGTCAAACTTTGTAATTATTCCCTGGAGTTAGTAAAGTACTGGGTATGCAAATATAAGTGGGATAATTATTGCCAGTGCAAGTTACCTGGTTGTTTGGAAACGTGCCATCCTTATCTATAGCATTAACTTGAGTAACTTTTGTCCCAATAGGTTCGCCCTCTAGAACAGTTTCTTGTTCTCTTTCTGTGAACAGGGGTATTTCATCATTTACGTCTTCTAGCATTATGTATACGGTTGCTTCTGATGCCAGTTGCTGAGCACCATTATTCTGAAAACAAAAAACGAAAATGTCCTGCAATGGAAGTCACCAAATATGAATAAATACTCAATTAAATTGTATTATTGATAATCAGTAATTAAATCGCCCTCGTGCACAAATGCAATTTATACCAAAAAATTAACACACATAAACTTTTAAATAAATGATTTGTAATTGTTAGTTTCAACTCCAATCGTTAAATAAAACAACGATGATGTATAACAAAAATGTAAATATAATATTTCATTACAACTCGATAATTTATAACGAAGTATGATACTCTAAAATCTAAAATATCAGAAGAAAATCGGAAAATTTTTGTTACGTACGAACATGTACATGATTATTTATCGACGGCTTTTGAATATACCTGCAGGTAATGATCGACGTTGGGTGGTAACCTTTTTAATAAAGATTCGAAGGGTAATAAATCATTCTTACGTGACACATATTTGCCTGCTGAACAATAAAAATTCCTCAATTCTCCAGAGGAATAAAGACTGTTCCATAGAACTCGATAATAATATATATAGCCTTGGATGACAAGCAAAGTATACTTCATTTACTTTCTCTAGCGATGTGCCCCTTCCATTGTCCGGGATGCGCGATGGCAAAATCGTAGGCAGGGAGAAAAAAGCTCATTGTACGCTCGACTCTTGCTCATTAAACATTCTTTTCATACAGTACCAGTCAAAAGTTTTGTTCAATCATGAATAGTAGTGCGAGTCGAAAACAAGCGTTAAAGCCTTTAATATGTCTTCTTCTATATATAAACTTCTCGTTGATATTTTCAGTAGTAAATGGTACCAATAACAGCACATTTGAGCAATGCAATTTTAGTGGATAAAATGGTCAATTTTTCCATGCAGTACTCTACGGATTATACCCCCCTCAACGGTTAAAAGTTTGGCCGAGAATTGTCTCCTTTCTTTTCTGGCTTAGTGCTGTTCTTTTCTACTTTGCGCCGGTCAAACTAAAGATCACACACATCGCTAGAGAAACTAAACAAAGTATACTTCGCTTTTTAACGCGATTGTCCACCCATCACTTCAGAGGTGGACCACCTATATCTACGGTTTCCCCCCCCTCCAATACCCCCTTCGCTTAAACATTTTCCTTTCTCAACCCTCTCTCCAATCCAAACCTTCCATTCTCTTTCAGGGGATGAGCAACCCTCAGGGTTTATCTCCCCACTCGAGAAGGGGTTTTAGTCGGTAAAAATCCGACACTACCTCCCTTCAGGGGGTGTCTTTTGAAAATTTCCCCCACCTTGAGAATAATCTAAACAAAAAAAAACAACCGAGGTTATACGGACAGATGAGCAGTAAAGGTATAGTGTGAATTACGAGCGAATACAGAGTGATATCAATACAATGACGAGTATTACATATCTATACCGTATGATATAAATAACTGGTAGTCTAAGTGTTTAGTTAGTGTTATCAGATAACTGGGCTGATATATATATCTAAGCTAAATGAGTCTAGGAATCCCATATGCCTTTTCAAAAATGTTTCTGACCTGAACACAAATCCTTTGGCTGAAGAACCTCGTCACTGTTATTACTATTGCTAGACGACTCTAGAAAAATGCTAGTGACTCTAAACTTTTTTTTTTAAATGATGGGTTTTTCTGAGACCCCAGGGCGCGAGGCTATCGCCTTTTTTCGTAATACTCTAACTATAGATATCCTAGGATACCAGGAAAAAACATCATGAGAATATTAGAGGATGTGACAGAAATATTCGACAAAATTGCAAAGGCATCGTAGGAGATCAGATACGAAAGTAGTTCTTTGTAATGCATACGAATGGAGAAAGGATTTTAAAGAAAAATAGAAGAAAATCATAGAAACCCCAAGATATTTAAAGTGTGCGTATACATGTTTTGTAAAGTTATCAGCAAACACAAGAAAGATTAGAAACTCTTAATTGTGAATGACTTTACGTGATATTCGAAAGATACCTACTTAACCTCTTAGATCAAACTATCAAACATAATACCTCAATGTAACTTTAAGTTCTTACCTCAACACGTATAGTTAAATTATACTCTTTAATTGTTTCGTAATCTAATGGATGGTTGACTTTGATATCTGCCCATGTGAATCCATTGTCGGGACGTTGCTGGAGATAAAACGTGTGGTACTTGTTGGTTTGAGCGGTTGACCCTGGCATCAGGCGGTAGAAGACTGTGGGGTTGTTTTCGATACCCGAGCTACACAATTATATTATTTAGTACACTTTATAAAAGAGTAAGAAAGATGTAATTTTGGTAATTTTGTAATCTGCTCGCGATGTGGTGGGTAATTAGATTTGGTGACGGAACACTTTAACGCCATAATGGAAAGTAAGTTCTTAAAAGAAAGAGCAGTAGATTATCACTCGATCAGTGATATAGTTTAAGAAAAAGTGCGGAAAAAAAATGAGTAACGTCATGTAAAATAGCAAAAATATACAAAAAAAGACGTGTATTTTGATCAAAAAATTTACAAATTATATCTACACAAAAGAGAAATCAGAAACATACAGAATGAACTGAGCAACATGATTCTCTAGAAAGAAAGAAAATGGCCGTATTTACATTACAGCTGTAAAGAGAACGCTCATTCCATTTTCTATGTCTATGAGGAAAATCTAACGTAACCTGACATTATAAAATAAAAAATTCAAAATCTACACTATATTCTGTATTTGTACATGATAATGACAACACTCAGTTTGTGTTCATACTGCAACCTTATAATCCTAAATATATCCGTTAAAAAAAAAGTAGTAAAAATAAGTTACCAATTTGTGAAACCTACTCATCCGTTGCATTTGCCTATGCGCAATTGTTCCCAATCCCTTCTCAATTTCCTACGTAACGACAAAAAGTACTACATTTTATATCCTTTATCCTTAAATTTTCTAATATTTTTAATATTATTCAAATGCTTTTCCTTTTTCATTTTCTTCTTCCTTTTTATGGTGCTAAAGAGTTATTTTTCCTTAAATTTTAGTAAAATTATGATTATCTATTACATTAATGGCATACACCTTATATATTGGTAGTATACACAATAATGTAATGGAACAATTATTGAATTTAAATTGCATGTTTCTTGTTTATTAATAGATATTAATATGACAAAATGCAAAATGTATTCTAATGATATACTCCTGAATGCATATTATATCCTTAAACCCTGGAAAAAAGTTAAGCCCATTGTTTTGTTGAGCTTTCTCAAAAAATGAAAAGCATGCACACTAAACGCCTTCATCAGTTACTTCCATATGTGCTAAATCTTTTTTCTTCGACATTTTTTAATACCAGGGATTTGAGATTAATTTATAATTAGTCATTAATCAGATGTTCCAATAATGCAATAAAACAGTCGATTATACTATAGAAACTGTAGCTACCTTAGTACTGAAAACATTTTGAAACCATATGTGTAACTCTTAAAAATTTTTTTTACATTTTATCAACTTATAAAAATTAAGAATGACTTTGAAATAGTAATCACTTCATCCCTTTTATTTGATACTGATGACCCTGAGCTCTACACCCCAAATACAGTTACATTCAACGAACAGGTAACGTAGAAAATATAGAAATATATGTAAACAAGAAACTTCTTGAATGGAATGATATTCAAAATTTTTAAAATACATTTTCGAGTAGATGTAAATAAGCTTGTCAGCGAAATAATTGTTACTCCGCTTGTGTCAAATAGATGAAAATGGTATTTTGTTATTTATTACCAAAAGTACATCTTTCTAACATGAACACACTACATTTAGGGAAACTATCGGAAAACAACAGTTCCACGGAAAAACGATTCAAAAAGCAAAACTTTATGTTAAAAAAAAAACAAATTGCAATGGCTTACAAAAAATACCAGCCACATGCAAGTCGAAAATTTCATCCCCGCTAAACTATAAGTAGTTAAAAAATGCACATGCAAAACTAACTTTTCCCAGCACTCACGATAAAAACAACAAAGGGCATATACTCAAAAAATTTACAACAAAGATATGTACGTAAATATTTTCTTAACAACCGTATACATTTTCCGAATAAAGTTCAAAAACGTATTTGAACAATTAAAATAAAAAAAAAATGTGAATGCTGGTGCTACGAAAAGTTAGAAAATATTAAAAACCCGGTCCTGTAAATAATTGTTACTGTTAAGATTTCGTAAGCTTTTATTTAGTTAAGTTAAACTCTTAATTAGAAACCACACATCCTTACTTTGGAATTCTACGAAAATGATTTTTAGGACACCGAATGTTGTTGAGATTAATTTGCAAAATATCCCAAATGCCCCTAAAGCCTGTGCTCGCGTGAGGTGCAAGATCAACAACATTCGAGTTTGGTTAAAGGAAAAACTATACATTCATTCAAACTACGGAACAGGAAGAGTTGTACCTATAACCACATTGTTGAAAAATCAATTTAAAATTTCATGTAAAATTAATAAAAATATTTTGAAATAATTCTAAACCATTTTAACTGTTGGATTAATGGATCTTAAACCAGAGCCGGACTGAAGATTTTGGTCCGGGGTGCGATGTAACCAAATGGCCTGGTTTAGAAGGGAAAGTGCACAAATTTTAACAGCACTTGAGAAGTTAGAAAGAAATTTGCGTTCGTCTTTGCCTCGGTCTTTGATCTTGTTTTAAAATTTTTTTATTTTCTTTATAAATGATATTTTTATAGTTTGTTTTTTTTTTCCTTTTATAACAAAATTTGAAAACCCCTGCACCCCGAGCCAGTCCGGCCCTGGTAGCTATGTAATATAAGTACCTGATTGGTTANTACTATTAAAAAAATATTTTATTTTTTTAATTTTTCCTTTTTTTCACATTTTTTCAGTCATCTAGCTCGGTGCAAATGCACCCCGGGCCAGTCCGGCCCTGTCTTAAACCATTTGATGAACTTTAAATCGTTACAATTAATCCTTATTCCTCATCTGTTTCTGCCGGCAATTGTTTTCTAAAGTGACTTTCAAACCTTAATAAGCAACAATGCAGTTATGACTTTTTCGCGATGGTTCAGGAAAGGAACTGCACAGTACGGATGTCATGAAGGACGGGGACGCGTGCTAGCCCCTTCTGCAGGTTGTACGAATATGATTTTTTGTATAATTATAATAGATATGTATGTATTTATAAATATTATCTGGTTCTGACGAAGCGTGCATGAACAGACGACGGTGCCGTGCAGCTGCGTGCTGCCGCACGAGCAACACACTTAGTAGGTCACAGACCTGGCTTTGACTGAAACAACTTTAGCCCCGACCGGGAGGTTCTCTCTTATGTAGATGGGCCCGTAGACCGCGTGGTCCCACACGGGCGGGTTGTTCGCGCGGTCCACGACATCTATCTGAACTTCGACGGATCGGGACAAGGGCGGATAGCCTTTGTCTTGGGCCGTGGCCTCCAGCTTGTACGTTTCTCGCTATGCACGCCAAGGAAATAAGCACAAAACAATCAAAGTTAGTGAAAAAAAAAGTGGTTGGTTATGGTAGAAGAAGTATGGGGTGGTACGGACAGGCTGGCGGAAAAACAACATTACTCTTACATCATTACGTCAAACATGTGTGGACGAACTCCTGAAATTCGAAGAGACAGCTTACGGCGTCCGGAACCTATTCAGATACGTAATCATGGACGTCCGCTATTGTCATCCTGTACGCCCCCCACCCTCGCGAACGCACGATAGCTCAGGACGCCGCATGCACCGTTTCGTCACAATACCAACCTGGCTTTAATAGAAGTCACTACAGTACCCACTGTGACATTTTCTTTGATGTGAATGGGGCCGTACATGTTCATGTCCCACAGTGGCGGCTTATTGTTCCTGTCGACGACGTCTAATTCAACGTCCACATCCGCGTAGAGGGGCGGCACACCCCTGTCTGAGGCACGCACGCGTAGACGGTACCTGTCTCGCTAAACACGGCTACGGTCAGGTTAGGGCTCATGGGATAAAACCAAACATAATCGTACTAATAATAATAATAATAATA